CAGCTGAGCTGCTAACACGAAGTTTGACTTTTTGTGCTTTTAAAGGCATTCTGGGAAGCTGCCGTAAGCTGAGATTGGACTACTTCCCGCAGACTCAGAGAAGGATCTGCATCCACCATCTACCATCATGCCAGTGAAAAGGCTAACTTCAGGCTCACTTCCAAGCACAAAACCCACCTCTTTAGAAGAAAAAATGGCTGAGGCTGTGTGCTTTGTGTTTATGGAGCCAGCACTCCCCTGGCTCTGCGATGGATTCCTCGGACTCCTACCTGAGATTCAGAGTCACATTTACATCGTCAGTGCAAACCAGGAACAGGAGAAGCTGGCCTTTTTTCCCTGGTGTAACCACTGAGGGGTTCTATACCACGTCCTGCATCTCACCTTCAGGTCCCTACAAACTCTGGGTATACTGCACCAGCCTCAAAATAAGGAAAGCTGCCTGAAACACCTCTTTATTTTATTTTTTTATTTAACTATAAGACTTGAAAAGTCAGTGTAACAAGGCCCTCACATCCTTCGGCTTTATGCGTCTTTCCTTTCCGTGCTGCACACTTTGCTCCTTTCACGCTGCTGTTCAGACCAAGCGTGGTGAGAGGGGATGAAAGGCATTTGCAAATGCATTCTCAGAAGAGAATCTGCTTTTTCCCCCCATTTAAAAAGCAATTCCTGTTGCTGTGCATTGTTTGCACGCAGGGATTAAAAACGCTTGAAAGCCTGAACCAGAAACGAGATGTCGCATTTCTAAATTCTCCACGAAGGCGTGAACGGAGACAGCACCAGACACAATGCGGAGCCAGTGCTGACATGCACAAACCAGCTCATTATGTGGGAGAAAAACCAGCACCTTTCACCTCCAACAAGCTGGGAAAAAGAAAATCCCCACCAGATAACCTGACCGAAAGCCTCATGAGAGAGGTGCAAGCACACTGGAGTGCTGGGAGCTAATTGGGAGAGCCCCCACCACCCCTGTAGCAGCAGCAGGGGAGAAAAAACATGCTTTTGCAGTCGAATAAATAAAATTCAACAGGAGACACCTTCCCCATTGTCCTTAATTTCTGCAGCCCCGAACTCAGCCAAAACCCATCCTTGGCATCATGTTGTGTGGCCAAGCTGCTTTCAGACCTTGCTTTTAGCTTTTTAGCAAGGCTGTTGGGCTCATGCCCACCTCACCCCTTCAGGAATGTGGGATGAGGGCTCCCACGGGGCTGGCTGGAAGCTGTGCCTGCAGTCCTTGTGCCACTGGGACTCAGGGGGTGAATTTAGGGCTGTTTTCAGCAATCCCACCCAGGATCCACCAGCTTCGATGTGTCACGTTGAGGGCTTCCTTGGCCAATGGGTCACATCAGAAGCCATCTCCAACCCCCTCAGATTAAAGTGACTCCTGGGGTTCAACAGGTCTGCTGCCGTACAGGAATGGCTGGAGTATTTTTCCAGCCCAGGAACAATCATCCTGCCACCACCTGCATTTTTTGGCTGAGAGATAAGACCATCTTAATGTCTCTATTTATTTTTTGAGAATTTAATGAAAGATTCTCAAATACTCAAACAACACAAGTGTCAGGCTCGCAAATTAGCTGAGCCTTCCGAGGCCAGCCTTCTCCCTTCATTAATATCAATAACAACTGCGGAGCTTAATTGAGCCACTTTGGAAACCACCTTTGGACGAACACACAGCAGAAGGAGAAACCCAGGCTCTCCACCTCACCTACTACTCTAGTGGGTTTGTGTGGTAAGGTTTTGGTAGTGGGGGGACGTAGGGGTGGCTTCTGTGAGAAGAATCCAGAAGCTGCCCCAGGTTAGATAAGGGCCTAACTGCTGGCCAGAGCTGGGCCAATAAGTGATATTTTTTGTGCATTTTGTGAATCAAGACATGGGAAAAAAAATAAAATAGAACTGCTGGGGAACAGCTGCTGGGAGAGAAAGAGAGGAGTGAGGAACAGCCCTGTAAGGTCCCCAAGGTGTGGGGAGCTGGGGGTCAGCCTCTTCTCACAGGTAACTGAATAGAACTAGAGGGAATGGCCTCAAGTTGTGCCAGAGGAGGTTTAGGTTGGAAATTAGGAGACATTTCTTCTCAGAAAGAGTAGTCAAGCATTGGGATGGGTTGCCCAGGGAGGCATCACCATCCTTGGGGGAGTTCAAGGAAAGGTTGGACCTGGCGCTTCGGGACAGGGTTTAGTGGGTGACATTGGTAGTAGGGTGATGGTTGGACCAGATGATCCCGAAGGTCTCTTCCAACCTCGCTGATTCTATTTTTCTATGATTTCCACCACAAGGAGTGGATTTGTGCATCCTGGGATGGGGCAGGAGGTAGGTGCTGCCACACACAGCCCTGCGTGCCCCTGTCCATTGCCCTGCATGTAGCTGTGTCTTAGCGTCTTGCTTCCCTGGAGCAGCTCCAGCCCTGCTTCTCACAGCTTCCCCCATTTCATGCCTGGAATTTAAAAGATCTGTGTATTTATCTGCTGCTCTGTTCAAATTACCGACTGGGCTGTGCTCGCCACGGTCTCTCTGGGAACAGGCAAGATGCTACATGGCCTTTTGATCGAAGCAATCTTTCTGTGGAGGCTTTTTTTCCTTTGCACAGGGGAAAAAAATGCAGATTTTTTTATATGTTTTTTTTTTTTCTTTTTATTTTTGCCAAAGAGCATCAACTTGAGGTGAAGTATTTCCCAGTGCTGACAAAAGCTTTGATATTGTAATGCCAAATCCATCGAGCCAAAGCTTTTAACTTTGCATTGTTCTTTTTTTTTATATTTTAAATATTGGATTTGTGGCGTTTGTCCTCCTTCCTCTTGCCCGCGATTGATCCTCCTGTCCTATTTATCTCCTCCATCTCACTGGGCCGTGGCCTTGAGCCCACTGGAGACGTTGCATTGATTGCCCAGGATTTTGGATGAAGCCAGTCAGTTATTTTCCCTTCCCCTCTTCACCTCCCTTACCTGTTGCTTATTCTCTAACCAGGCCTTGGTGAATTTTTTTTCTAGATTCAATTGACCAGAAAACACATCCCACTTTTGGGAAACAGGGTCAAGATTCATTTATATATATATGTATATGTACATATATACATATGTACATATACATATATTTGTATTTAAATAGTTATTTCTTGAGTCAAAAACGTTCCTCAACATTTCCAAAATCAACACTCCCCATTTGAGAACATGTTTCACCTAGAAATTAATCATGAAGCTGCTTCACAACCTGGTGGGAATTCTTCCTTTTCCACTTACAGACAACAAACCCGCTTGTTTTTCACCACCTGACTTTTCCCCTCACCAAAAAACAAATCTCAGGTCGGTTGTAAATGGTGCCCCCATCCAAAACATTTGCAACATAGGCATTGGTTGCAAATGAGCTCTCACAGCACTTGGCCTTGGCTGTTTCTAAGTTAACTACTTATTTTCTCTGCTTTTTCCCTTCAGTCAACAGAAAGGGACTGTCTGCTTCAGAAAGCGATTGCGAATGCCAAAGCTAAGCTTGCTGTGACAGATTAACACAAGCTCGGTCTGGAGAAAGCATAAAAACACCACTGCAAAAGTGGTCGCTGCAGAGTTTGGCTGGAAACTAATGCAATCCAAAGCAGGCTGCCTTCAGCATCTAACTGCAGGGCGAATGGGCGCGAGGATTATTAGGAGACTGGCAACAGCCTGTACGTAGAGATCTAGTGTAGAGGATTAAAGCTTAATGGGGGCTTTTAGCATTGAAATAATTTAAAAGACATTCGTTGACAAAGAAAAGGAAGAAAGTTTCAGGGTCCTTTCCCCATTCACTCCCATGGCCTCTCTCATCGAGGCATTCACACTCTTTACCCGTTTAGGGTCATTTCAGGATGAGGAATTAAATGATGGAGATACTGCTTTCCATCCATGAGTCCCTGCACGTGCTTTGCTTCTGCCCCAGGGCAGATTTTTGCTTATGAGACCATCTTGATGTCCCTCACCAGTGCCAGGTAATGCAGGCTGAGCCATCTGAGCACTTTACCTCACAAGTTTGTGCCCCGCAACCCTCCAGAATCACATAAAAAAAAAAAAATAATCAGCAAAATAACAACAAGCAACCAAACAATTGTTTAAAATGGGGATACACAGCAATAAAGTTCTCAAAATCCAGCAATTATGGGTTACTCTGGCTACAAGAAGGAACAGCTCCACACTCCACATCGAAAACTCTTTGGAGATGGGAAGCAAAGTACTTGCAAGCTGACCAGGGAACCTGTGATCTAGGTCTCCCCCAGCTGCTTTCTGACCACTTCAGGACTTAATTAGCACTAAAGGCCGTAGGAAATCTGAAGATTATTTAATAGAGAATGTAGTGGTAGATATGTCCTGAAGAAAAAAGGAGAAAGGGAGGAAGCACCAAGTTTGTGCAGGTGACTACAGCTTCACTGCTTCGTTACTTAAGGAAAAACTTGGGTGGGATTTTTTTCTCCCCCTCTCCTGCCCCAAATGTCAAGGTATCACAGATTTTTCAAGCCTGAAATTAGGACAAAGAAAAAAAAAAAGAAAGTCATAGTGCTCCAAACAACCTGGGGAGGTGTTGGCCAAGACGTGTTGGTTTTACTCCGGCAGGTTTTTGTTAGCTTGCACAGTCATTTAAAGCAGAACTTGATCCGCTAAGAGGCACAGCAAGGCCGTTAGTCCACGGTAGAGGTGCGGTGAGAGCAGCTGTCTGCAGAGCTCTGAAAGACCTTCTGTGGTCTCTGCCTCTGCTGGCAGTAATTAACTCAGAACTGCAATCTGAAATTTGTAGTAACATGAAGGCACTGAAGTCCAACCCTTTCCAAAAAAAAAAAAGATGGGGGAATGATGACTTTCTGTTAATTTACCCAAAGTAAAATCTCGAGAGATGTGGAGGACTATTTGCAGAAACAAGCAAATAAACCCAAATTTTCCTTTCTGGCTTCTGTTTGCCTGAACATCCCCTCCCAGCACCCCAAATGCCCAGATTCAGCACATTGCAAGCAGTTGAGGGCTGGGCTGTGCCCCCTGCCTGCGGGCAGGATACGGCCCTCACTCATGGCTCTGCTGTGCCATGGTGCAGCCAGGATCCTGTATTTTGCCATCAGTGATCACTTATAAAATATACCCCTGGGGTTCGCATTCTAATTTCTGTTTGACCTTTAAAGAACAACTCTAATTGACAGCCAATTTCTGTCTTATTTTATGACAGCTTTCGCTGTCCTGTCAATCACAGGTAGAGTTGTTAAGGAGAAAATCAGGCAGGCGGTGAGAGCCTTGACAAAGAAAAGCCAGCCCATAACAACATCAGGAATTCCTCTCATCGCTCTTTTCCAGCTGCTGAAAATGCCACAAAAGGTGTTCATTGAGATGAAACTTTTCTAAGCATCCATAGCCAAGGCTTCACTAGGATGCAGGAGGGAAGCAGCTGTATCGCGGTGCTTCTGGAGGATGGATGCTGACCCCAACCCACGGCCCAGGTGGGGTGACTGTGGCAGTAGGAGGTAGTTGAATGCAGAGGATTCTGTCCCAGGGAAATGGTAATGAAATGTGGGAAATGAGGCAAGGAGTGGAGAGGTGCAGGTGGGAGAGCGCAGAGCATCCAGGAGCTGCATTGGGATGCCTGGGATTGAGAGAGAAGCACTCAAGGCACATTGTGCTGGGGATGAAATCAGCTTCCATCCAACGTTTCTCCCTGACAGCTGCTCTGCACTCACTCCAGCAGCATTATTCCACAATTAGTCCAATGGCAGGTATGGTTGGCTCTAATTAGCTTCTTATCACCCCCAAAAAGCGCAAGCATGGGAGCTGCTGGCTCAGAACAGGGCCCTGCATCCAGGCAGAGCAGGGCTGCTGGAAAAGCATCCTCATCTCCCCATGAATTGATCATTTGATCATCATTTGATCGCCATGAAAACAGCACTGGTTTTGATCTGATAAAATCTTGGAAAGGCTGAAAGAGCCACCTAATTAGCAGGAGGACACAGGTAGTTAGCTGTACTGGATCCTGTTCAAGCGGGCTGAATCCTGCCTATGAGCTGGGCCACCCCAGCCCCCAGCCCTCTGCCTCCATCCACGTGGGGCTCAGCCACCAGCAGACTTCTTGGCTTACAACATTGTACAGCCAGCTGAAAACACGAGATCTGCTTCACCCAAAACTCGTGCGACCAACGGCAAAGGCATTTGTCACTCTTCCCCCTTCTGAAACCGGGAAGCTTAAACAATATGCATCATTTATGCACCTAGAGAAGCAGAGAAAATCAGAATTGAAAACAGACTGGTGCCTCTGTCTGCATGTGTCTGCATGAAATATTCAGCACCAACTCTGAGTCCTGCTGCGTGTCAGGGCTCGGGAGCGCTGCATCTCCTTGCTCCGCAATCAGAAACCATGACAGCTCACCAAAAAATAACAGCTGCGTGGCGCAACAGACACCATTTCAGGTCAACTGCTAGGATGAAGAGGTGTTTCGAAGCCTCTTCAATATTTAAACCGAGAATGAGACACGTCGAGACCCAATCACTAATGGCTTCTTGCCTTGCACCGCCACAGTAACACCAGGAAATTGGAAGACTTGCTGGGATTGCTCAAGATAGTCAGGAAGGGCGAGGAAAGAAGTGCTGTCTGCTGTAATTGCTAGATGTCCAGATCTTCTCTGCCTGGGACTGCAGCCAGGCAGGTACAGGGAGGAAGATGTAGGCTGACTCCCGAAAAAGCCAGGTGGCAAACGAGTCCTACCTGGGTGGGCCAGATCCTGCTTTAGGAACTGCCTGAGCAGCCTTGTCTCTCGGGAGAACGGCGAGCAAGATCTGGTCTTTCAGACACAGAGATGACAAGCCAAATCCTGCAACCTTCCCTGGCTGCTTACAAAAGGTTTGAGGCTTCCAGCCAGGGCCAGATCTCCTCCGCTGCAAGCGGTTTCCAAACGGTGGGCAACGAGGTTGGGTTTGGGGTTGAAATTTGTGGCCGTCTTTTCACCTTCTCCTCATCAGCTCTGTATCTGCTCCCAGTTCTCTGAGAGCAATTCTTATTGCCCTTGTCTCCTCCTTGCGTTCGGAGTCCTTCAGAGCGGACAGGAGCACTAAAAATAAAATCACCTGTCAGGTTTCCCAGTTATTACAAACAAAATGTCCTTTACAGAAATGTAACGAGTAAAACCCTCATATTGTGTGTGCTTATTCACATAAAATATTTAGAAAGCTCCTAATGTTTTTATGGCTGCAATTAATCTTGTGTCGCGCTGGGGGAGAGCAGCACATAAAAAAAGCCCACTCTGGCAGCAGGCAGGAGCTTCGGCATCCCAAGGCAAACCCGCAGTGTGGCTGCGCTCCCGAGGGTCTTTCAGGGGTCCCGATGGGGCTGTGGAGGCTGAGCAGAGCCTGTGTCGTGCTGCCTCTGCAGCAGGGATGCTCCTGCCACTTGCAGCAGCTTTGTACTCTTTGTACTGAGCTCGGTGGCACAGCCAGAGAGAGAACAGGAGCTCCATGGATGCTTCTCTCTGGGGAAAGCTGGCCCCAGAAGACACGTGCTCTTTTTATGTTGAAAACTGATGGGTTTTAGGAAAAGATTCCTGCAAGTTCACTGCAGCTGTCTGGAGGGCTCTGATGAACACAGGAGCCTGCATGCACATGAACTGTCACCGGTCAGAGACTTCTGGCCCTCCTTGCCTTGCCGGTAGCTTCTTTGATGGGAATGCTCCCAGAGGAAGGATGCTTCAAATCAGGGCCAGCCCTCATTATCCACAGGGTCTCACCGAAGAGGAACTTCTGGCCAAGCTGCAGGAGGTCACGGCTCCTGCAGCTCCATGGGTCATGGCTGGGCAGCACCCAGCAGCGGGGTGACAACGGGTGGGCACATCGGGGCCAGCTGCTGGTGGCAGAGAGCAAGCCTGGGTTGATGGCAAGGCAGGGCTGCTGTTCCTGTGTACTCAAGTTTATTTATCATTAAAGCACGGAGAAGCCCAGCCCCTTGCACCATAGGAGTTTGCAAAGCCCAGGACAAGAGACAGGTTGGCCTCAGCAGAGTTAAAGCATTTAACTGGCGTAACAAAGAAGAATGTACTTGACATTTCAATCTTGATCCTTGCACTTCTAAACAGCCCTTTAGAGGCGGAAGGTAACGGGTGAAGTACAGGGCTGCTCCTGGGGACCCACCTGCCTGCAGAGCAGAGGCACTGCGATGCGACCTGGTACAGCTCAGGGACAGCCCAGCGAGGCACCCAGGCACAGAGGGGAGCAGAGGTAAGGGGGGGCTTAGTTTCCTTTCCTGGGGGCATCAGGGTGTCCGTCAAGGCTGGAAATTAAGGTCCAACATGGTGCATCCCCACTGCTCACCCCCAGACCCTGCTTGCCTAGTGGGGCACACGGAAGGGGGGTGCTCCCACCGACAGTGCGAGGCCAGGGTGCCCTGCCAAGGCTGCTTTACGAGTTTGTAAATAACACAAGCACCATGCAGATTTATACCCCTGCTCATTATTCAAAGCCATCTGGGCTCTAACCACCCTCCTGAATGGAGCAGGACGGGTTCAGGCTCTGCACACGTGGCCCGAATGTGAAGCTGTCACATGCGGCCGGAGGCGCAAAGGGTCAGAGAGGAAAACATGCAAGCAAGGTGAGCAATGGGTAACGAGACCCAGACTCAGCAGGGCTGGAACTGCAGGGGGAGGGACAGGTTTCTGTGTGGGCTGCATGAAATTCAGGAGTGGGGCTCAGCCAGCCCCTGCGCTGGACCCCCAACTGTTATCCCACCAGTTCCCTTCCCCAGCCACCTCCTCAACTCCTGTGCATTTCTGCACAAGCTTTTTTTTTTTTTTTTTTTAATTTAGTTGACTTTCAAAGTAGCTGAACTGCCAAGACTGCCCATTTTGCCTGCAGATGCTCTGCATTGGCTGCCTCCAAAACCCTTTAAATAGCCACAGCTAAATCACAGCTCTGTCAGGCGATGCTCTATTTAACAGAAGCTGCCCGTCTCGCGCAGCAGCCGCGGCCCAGGAATCTCCTCCCGAGTCCATTTTCTCAGTGAGTGGCAGCAATAAATAAAAGCCAGCCAGTTGGTCCTTGAAATGCAACCACGGCCTCTCGCTTGATTACTTCTACCCAGGATTTTGCCAACCGCGGTGCAATCTCCTGCAAATGCCGCCTCCCTCCGCCTGCCACCTCCCCGGGATGGATGGATGGATAGATGGATGGATGGAGGAAGCAGCTGGGTGGGATCACACACGGAGAGGGATGCGAGCGGGTGCAGAGCAGCAAGGGAAGCCGGAGGAGGCTTTTTGAGAAGGATGTGCCCAAGCCAAAGCCTCCTGCCCTTGAGTTGCACAGCGAACGCAAGGGTCCTGCCCTGGAAAGCTCCCAGGTCGTTTCTCGCAGGAGCAAGGAATGCTCCCCCCGCCTTGGCCAGGCTCCAGGGTAGTTAATTGCATTCTGCCTGCCCAACGTTAATTAATTTGGTGTCATGCAGAGCCCGCTGTGCTGGGTGCATCTGGGAAAAAAAATCCACTGCCTCCCACACCCAATAAATAAGAGAGGGGGAGGGAGGCGGCAGGCTCCAAGGCTCTGCACCCGGATGCTGGGGTGCTGCTGCCGGCTGGGCAGCCGCCTCCATCCCAGGATGAAGAGCATCTTGTCAGCACCCAGCCCTCCGTTAGCTCTGCTGCTCATTTGTTTTCACCTCCAAGCAAATGGATCCCAGGCACGCGTGGAGGTCACCTCCAAGTTGCTCCTTGCATCTGCTTTCTGGTTGGATTTTAGGGAAAGGTTCCTCACCGAGAGGTGGTCGGGCACTGGGATGGGCTCCCCAGGGCAGTGTCACAGCACGGAGCCTGCTGGAGTTCAAGAAACATTTGGACAACACTCTCAGACATGGTCTGATTTTCAGGTGGTTCTGTGCGGAGCCAGGATTTGGACTCAACGATCCTTGCAGCTCCCTTCCAACTTGGGATATTTTGTGATTCTGGGATCTGCTCCCAGGACGGAGGATGCCGGTCTTGTCAGGGAAAAGCGCTTCAAGGACCAACGGATGGACAGCAAGAGCCGGGTACAACCAGCCTCCAGGCAGAGCCAGACTGGGCTCACAAAAAGGTCCATGGGATCTGGTGTGGCTGCAAGACTTGTAAGGACCTGGGGGTGCTTTGGGATCCAGGAGCACCAGAGATGTTTGTGCTGCAGCAGAAAATCTTCTTTAACGATTGTGCAATTGGGCAGGTGGGCATTGCTGCAACTCTGTCTTACGCCCCCTAAATCAAACAACCTGCAGATCAGAGCTGGGGAGGTAAAAAACCCCCAGAGATCCACAGGAAGCCTCTTACAGACCAAGGGGTCAACAATGCTGGTGGAAAGCAAGCCACGGGTACACATTGCCAGAAAGGTGCCCACAAGGAGATCGCAGCTGCACCACTGAGGTTTAGGATGATCTCTACCCCCTGTGAAAGGCCTCGCTGCAGCAATACCTTCACTCCAGCTAAGGATTTCTCCAGGCAATGCTGGCAGAAGGAGCTGCCAAGAGAAACTCATCCCGTCCAGGCAGCAAACCCACGAGGGCTGAGGCATCGCTCGGTGCGGAGGCAGCGCCGGAGCGGCCCCAAGCTCACGCCTCCCCTGCAGGGTTGTTTTTGGAAGGCAGAGCTGTGGTGGGAGAGCCCCTGCTCGCACAAAGAACAGATGCTGGTTATTTTAAACCCTACCGTTAACTCATTAAAGCAGCTGTCTGCCGTCCCCCGAAGACAGCCGAATTAGGATTCGACTCAACCAAGAGCACAACACACAAAACGTGGCCGCACGAAATGCCAACGAGCCCGCTCCCACCAAGATGGGCTGGCAGAGCAGGGGGCTCGGGGAGAAAAGTGGAGGGAGGCAAAGCAGCGAGTGAGTCTGCCTCTGTGTGTAGTTAGAGCTCGGGTCCACTCTTCCCCCAAACGAGCAAAAATCCTGAGCTGTGTCATGAGTTGGATTTCTCTTTCATTTTAATTCTTCCAGTGATAATTTTTCGGATTCACGGCTGGGATCTCCATCACCTCCTCAACCCTTGGTGTTGATTCCCTGACCCACATCTCCCTCCCTGACCTGGCCAGCGGGAGAAGGAAGCTCCTTTACTGCACAAAAGGTCACAGCCGGATCCAAGACACCTGGGCATGGCCACGATGGGTGGCAATGTCACATATGGGGACAGCAGACACAAAGCACAGAGATGGACACACAACACATCAGCTGTGCTGCATCCACGGTGCAGCGCACATCTCCTCGTCCCTGTGTGACAGCAGGGTGCTCCAGCACATGGGCAGAGCCCTCGGGATCACCCAGCACCCAAACCCTCGAGTTCCTTTGGCCTCAAGGCATCTGGGGACAAAGGGAAGAGCACCATGAAACCAGCACTGGGAAACCAGCCCAGCCCAGCCTCTGTCCCCAAAATGCTCAAGCGATTAGGACGCTGGTTCCCTGCATGACCAGAGGTAGCAGCACAGTCACAGCATCTCCCATCGCTGCGAGCGCGTCTGGTTCAGGATCAGTGAATAGTTAAAGGATCCAGGTGATTATTTCAGACCTCCTGCGAGTGACAGCAGCCCGCTTTGGAGCGATTTGTAATCTAACAGAGACATTAACCTTTTAAAGCACCTCCCGAGCTCCCTGGGGCGGTCGAGGCATGGTCTATTGTGCAGGGGAACAAAGAGCCCTGGTTATTACTCAGGAGTGAATGGCAGGGATGAGCTTTACATAAGCGAGATCAATAAAAATATATCAACAGCCCACGCAGGGCACGGGGAAGAGGTGGAGGGGAGAGGGCTGGGAGGAGACGTGGCGCTGACCAGATGGGGCACAGCATCGCGGCACTCATTGAGGAGTAGATGAAAAGAGGCTGATCGGGCTTTTAATCTCTCCGCTCGAGGTCCCCAGGGCCGAACAGGCTCTTTGCTTTAGTGCTGGCAGGGGCCGTGTGCTCCAGGGGCTGCCCCTTCCCCAGGGCTGGGCTGGGGGCCGAGCGCTGCCCCTCGCAGCAGGAGAACCGCGGCTGCATCCCCGCAGCAGAGCCAGGCTGCGCTGCCCACACGCAGGGAGTTTGGTGGTCTTGGCTTTGCTCCCGTCGCATGCAGGCATCCCACAAAGCCGGTGCTGACAGGTTTTATGAAAAGGAGTGAAAGGACAGAGCGGAGAAAAGACAAAAAAAAAAAAAAAAAAAAAGCCTGAATTTCTGCAGGGATCTTCTGGACACGCAGGGATTGATGCTGTGTTGATGAGGCAGCCCCATAAGCAGGGAAGCTCGGGGAAAGGCTGTGCTATTTCTGGCCAGGACTTTCCTGACAGGAAAGCACGCAGTGCCGAATGCAACATGTGCAGCCGGGGAGGCAGACGGTCCACAGTCCTTCTGTGGTTGCACAGCGAGTCTTACACCCGAGGACAGACTCCACAGCCAGGCGAGGTTCCCAAATCTGCCCTGACAAAGCTTCCAGATGGCAACCTGTTTGGGAACCATGCTGGTGCCACCACCCCTCAGGGCCACAGCGAGCAGGGGGTGCCTCTGATCAGCCTTTTGCTGTGCAGGGTGTTATAAAGACACCTTGAAGAGCTCGGAGCTGCCTCGTTACACGTGGGAGAGGAGGATCCGGCCCTCTCCACCAGCAGCCGAGCTCCGCATCCCGCCTGCTGCTATCGGCGAGCGGATCAGGAGGAGGCGAGTCAACGCACGCGGCACAGCCGCTTGCCTGCGCCGATTTCCCCGAGTGGGGTTGTTATCTAAATCAGATTAGAGAGGCAAGAAAGCCGCAGCGGCAGGTACAGCGAGCGGAGGAGGCCACCAGACTGGAGCAAGAAGGCGATAACAGCGGGGGCTCGGACATTTTGAGGAGCTTTTCTCCAAATTGCTTTGTAAAGCATCCTCCCCCAGCCACGGCTGGGTGCTTACCGAAGGGATTCCTTCCTGACACATCCTGCAGAGCAGGGCCAGGGCTGGGGAGCAGATCCCCAGTGCTGTGGGCGAATCCCTTCCCTTGGGATCCACCAAGGTGGGGGCTCGGTCATCCAGCAGCCTTCCCTGCTCTGGTGCTGGCTCCCACCCGCACCCCAGGGCTGATGGGGCACAAGCTGTGAGCAACTGGAAGTCCTTCCAGCCTCATCTCTTTGACTCGGAGGGGAAATAACTTGCTTCTTAGGCAGCAGGTTTCCTGGAGATGGGGGTTAACGGCACAGGCCTTGCCCTGGATGGGATCACATTAGTGATCAGGTGAACACCGCTTTCTCTCACCACAAAGATCTCAATTTGCTTCCATAAATTCCCTGGTTAACCAAAGCAGGCTGCAACCCCCCTGATTAATGAGCAGATTGCACCCTCCTCACCAGCACTACAGGTCACTCACACCGGTAACGCCACCAAAATCAGTACAGCCCTGCGAGAGAACCTGGGTTTTGTACAAGCTGTTAAAATCCTTCTGAGTAACATTAATTTTATTCAAATACCTAAGAAATGCAGATAGAACTGCTGAAGCTTTGGTTCCTGCCTGACCCTTAAGGCAGGAAAATATTCAGTTAACATCTTGGACATCCAGCCAGACCACACATTGCTGGGCTCCTATTTCTTATTTTATATGCTGAAAAATACTACATGGAATTCAAAATAAGAGCTGTATTTCAAAAAATGATATGCAAAGGCTTCTTTACTGACAGATACTTAGCGTGCTTTGATTTGCTTTTCCTTGGGAGCCCTCTCAAGTATTATTTCTCCCCAGCAGCGTCACTCTAACTTCTAAACTCAAGCAAACAAACGGCTCATTCCTCACCTCTGGTCAGGAGCTGTCCTGGGAGGGTTCCTTCAGCTTCTCAGCAAACGTGCCCTCAGTTTGTGCCTGTAAACTTCACCCCAGCCCCATGGCCTGTGGAGCAGATGTTGTTCATCAGCATTAATGGCTCAGGTGCACCAAAACAAAGCGGCTCTGCTCCATTGGAGGCCTCCCTCCCCATCACCTGGTGTATAGGAAATCGGGGGATGTTTGGTGGGGGTTTCCCTCTGGATCTGTGGTTTGGGTTGTGGTGACGGCATGGGGCTGTGTGCCTGTTCCCAAGCTCTGCAGTGTCCCCACCACCATCCAGGACAGTCTCTCTGATCCCCTCTCACTTCAAGAGAAATAAAGCCAGCCACACACGCAGCCTTTTGGGTCTTTTCCACCCTTCCTTTTTGCTCATCACCCTGAAAATTTCACAGAAGCTGCCATTTCCAGATGATCGCCTGGTGGGTCTCCCCGTGGTGGCACGCTTCGTGCTGAGATGTGATGTGACTGAAGCCATAAAGGGCTTTTTTGTAGCTGTCACTGTGGATAAGAGCACACAGAGGAAGGATTTATGTGTATTTTCTGTCCTCCTTCACCCCGCTACCTCCTCCAAGCTCCAACTGTTCAAGCCAGAGCTTCAACTTAATTACACACCGCCGGGCTAAGAGTCTGGTTTAGGAATCAGGCACGGAGGGATGTGTTTTGGGTCTCTGCCAGCAGCGAGGGAGGAAGGGGGGATAACCCGACTTCACCAGGGAAAGAGAGGGTGAAGCTGTGGCTGTCAGTGCTCCGTCAGGCTTGTGGTGGTGGAGAGCCATCGAGGCCCATGAGTTTTTTTGGAGAATCACCCTAATAATGGGTGTTTAGCAAAGCTGAGCTTCCAGCCTCAAAATGCAGGTGGCTTCCTGTGCACACACGGTGGTGCTGCCCCTTCTCCGTGTGAATTTGCTCAACGAGGTGACCGTGTTTGGTGTAAGGCTGCCAGGGAAGATCCTGCCTGCACAGCAGTGGGCAATAATCTGACAAATCATCTCCAGACCAGAGCAGGAGGCTCCCCAGCAGGGATGTCAACAGGGAGAGGTTAATCCTCCTGGGCTCAGTGCTGTGTAATCTCGAGACACCGACCTTCATGGGCTGCATCCCAAGCACGAGCACCCACACCAGGCCCTGGCCAGGCTGCGAGCAGGCAGCAGGGGCCTCCTTTGCTCCCCTGTTAACCCCAGGGGTCTCCTTGAAAGGCATCACACCACTCTGTGCCTCCGTTTCCCCATTTGCAATACAACTCATCACTGTAAAGCAAATAGAGATGGAAAAATACAGCGTCTGTTAAATATTTGTATTTCTTTCGCTGCTGCTGACATCCAGTTGCTTCTGCTTCAGCCACGCAGCGACTTTAACCGGAGCAATTCAGACTTGCAGAGAAGCAAGCTGTGGTTAAAGGTGATCTTTGAAATACCCCGCCAGCAAAGGATCCAAAGAGACGTAATCCAATCCAATCCAATCTGCCAAAGCCATCTCCCAGACGCGTAGATTTAATGGAGTTTAAAGGCAGAAAGGCCCGGCGTAATCTTCTCAAGCCGCGTTTCTGCACGGCGGGGTGGAGGGAGGGAGGGCAGGGGACTGCGATCCTCGGGGCTGCGAGAGCTGCGTGAGAGTTCCCGGAGTTGAAAGATAAAGGCAGTGTGGATGGAGGTCTGTGGGATTTGGAAGTGTTGTTGGGGAGATATTGTGAAGCCCTGACTCATGCATAGGGTCCCACCGCACATCGATGCACTTGTCCCAACAACTGGTCCCAGTTCGCAGCATAAACTGGGACTGAAGGCCGTGGTGGCTGGAGCGCAGCCGTACGGCAGCTTCTCCAAACTGGCCCCCCGTGCCAACGCACATCCTGCACTGCATAGAAATGTGCTTTACATTTTCTTTGACCCACGTTTTCCTTCCTTTTCCCCCTTCTTGTCTCCTCCAAAGGACGGACCTGGAAACGTCACCTCGGGGCCCACGCCGAGCCCAGAGCTGGCGGTGCACCCAGGGTAATTCACAGGCTTGGCTTACGTCTGCTCTGACGAAGCTGAACAAAAACGAGCTCTGGAGGATTTTAATTTTCAAAGCTTTAGACGAAAAGGATTCATTTAAAGCCTTTAAAAGATTTAGCCCACTTCGCAGTTCCTTCCAGAGATCGGTGTTGTGCTCTTTAAATAGGAGACATGTTTTAAAGCTCCTGCCATCATTTATTAAATTAGCCTCAGACTTGCAAATGCAGCTCTGCCTTATTGAATCTTGTAATATTTATTTGCCAAGTTGTGATATTTGAAATTGTGCACGCTACACATATTGGGGAGAGAGGGAAGTGACGGGAAAGGCGTGAGGGGACGGGGGAAGGAAACCACTTCTACTGTAAATTGTGTAAATACATTTGCACATCCCAAGAGGGGTAGGGAAAAGGTATTGTAATTAAAATGACTGCCAGGGTATTTTAAACAAGGGAGAATAAATAGACTTTTCTCCGCATGGCACAGGCTCCTTTAACTTGGAAACTTCGTGACAGAAGATGATTAAAAATATCTTATGGCGTGTCTGAAATCTGCAAGCTTTGATGAGAAAAATGTTCTTGGGAATGAAAGGAGATCAAGTGAAGGAGGAACAGTCTCCTACACAGTGTTTTATAGGCCCAATTCATGACTGCAGATGTCGCAGAAAATAATAAAAAAAAGCCTTTTTTTTTTTTTTTCCTTGCTACCTAACAGAGCAGGAGAAAAATCCCCACAGGACTCCTCAAGTGAGAAGCTCCCGTTCCTCCAGCTCTCGGGGCGGTGATGCTTTGTACTGGTGTGACGATGCTCCGGGAAACCACGGCGGTGGTGGGGACAAGGCGGTAGCCCCGTGGGCTGGCCTGGCTCCATCCTGAGCTTCCAGGCTGGAATCGCATCCTGCCTGCTCCTATACACCTCTTATCTTGGCCTGAGCGAGATATCCAGGCCCCAGAGGGTCTCTCTGCCCTCAGGTTGCTCCTGGCAGAAGCAGCAGCAGCTCCTTCAAGGGCTGGCTAGAGAGGGGCCGATATCTGGAAGCAAACGGGCTGGCAGCTTTTCCCTGCACCCAGCCAGCTTCTCATCCAAGTGAATGGGCTTTAGCAATGCTGCGGGGTCAAAACCTGGCCCACACTGCTTGTGTCACCCCAAAATCCCCCCCTTGGAAACCCTGGGGGATTTTGCGAAGTGGATAAAACCGCTCGGCACAAGGGCAGTCGAGTTTTGAAGGGTTAAAGCCATGGCTTGCGAGAGGCAGCAGAGCTCTTGCTCAGAGATGGAGGCAGCTGGGACCAAGGGGCTGGATGTGCCCGGGATGGCAGGGAGCATTTCGGGAGCCGTGCCGCAAGCTGTGCTCCTCACCGCTCGGCTGGGCAGGCTGGAAAGGCTCCAAGCACGTTTGCCTTCCTTTTGTTTCGGTTTTGCAAAATTCGCTACGAAATCGCTTTCCCTTAAGAAGCAGATCGATTAAAAGGGAAAAAAAAAAGAAAAATGAAAAGAGATTGAAAAGCATCCTTGATCAGAAAACCTGCATGGCAAATACTCGCCCCACGCTGACAACATCACTGTGGCTTCAGCGTTGGATGCAATCCCCAGTCACCTCGAGGTGAGCTGGGATAACACTTTGACAAGAGGTTTTCTAAAGACCTAGACCTTAAAAGTTGTGAGCGGCTGATTTGTGAAATGAGCTATTTCAGATCATTTTGAATAGGCTTTCTCTTTTTTTTTTTTTTTTTTTCTTTTTTAATGATTCTAATTTTTCTGCCGCTCAGAGCCCCGGACACGGTAACCACGGTAACTCAGCTTCACAGGCAGAGGGAGTTGAAAAATACAGGAGCACCACCAACAAACACAGAATCTAATCATCTCCCCTAACTGTGACATTAAAAGAGTCGTGTGATGATGCATAGCCGAAATAGAGGATTTCATTAGTGTTCGCTTCAGAAAGCACTTTCCCTCGTATTAGGGTGTGCTCAAATTGGGGCACCTCGGTGCGAAGCGCTGCACCAGTTACAGCCCCCACCTGTGAGGGTTTTGAGTCTGGCACGATGTGACCGACCTGGAGGAAGGTGAGGAAGCATCAAACATGCTGCAGAGAGGTGGCCCCACAGCTCCCTGACATGGTCTCCTCCTGCCCAAGACACAGAGCAAGAGGGAAAGAAGGAAAATCTGGAGGAAAACGTGCCAGATCAAGCGCTGAATCGAGTAGAGCCTGGGTCTCAGTTTCCCCACTTGAGTTAGCTGAAAAGCAGCAAGAGCAGCTCTCTTGCTGGGAGGTACAAGGCATTGCAAGCCCCTTCCAGAGGGGCTCAGAGCTGAGGTGACGAGTGACTCGGCTGCTGCTGGCTGACGGCAGCTGTGGAAGAAAAACAGGCAGCATCTGGGCTTGCTGGCTACTGGCACAGCTCCCCATTGCTCCTGGGCTTCAAAACCTCGGGATAAAGCTCCCTCCTCACCAGTGAGGCCATGAAGCCACGTTTTTCTGTAGCAAATGAACCTCCCCACCCCTGCCTCCATCCATCCCAGTGCTGGGAGACCCTCGTGGCCCCAAAATCTGCTGACCAGTGGGAGGTGATGCCTTAGTGTGTCTGTGGGTCCGGCCGAGGGCAAGCAGGGAGTGGAGGCAGGAGAGGAGCAAGGGAACACATGGGGACAGAGCTGAGGGTTGGCAACTCCGTGGCCAGCCCCTGAGGATGAGCCCAGGTGCTGTCCCGCTGCCCCCCTCCTCCTGGCACATGCCGGAGCATCTCTCCAACCAAGCCAGCCTTGGCACAGGCATCAGCCAAGTTTTCTCGCGGGCCAGTGGATCCTGTTCCTTATCCAGTTCCTACACATGCTCCTCCTGGACCCGGCTCAGCTCCTCACCTAACAGCCCCCAAGAGAAAGGAGGAGAGAAAGAGAAGAGGAAGGGGCAGAGAGCACCGGGGGGGGGGAAGGTTAGGGGATGCTCTCTGGCAGGATGGAGCCCAGCAGAGGGTGGCCGCGATGGGCTGCCATGAGTGGCAGGACTGGGCAGGAGGAGGAAGGAGGTGACTTCATCTCATACCGAAGAGCTGACAGCTAGCAGAGGATAAAAGCCTGGGAATCCCTCGGCTCCAGCGAGCAGAGCTCTCAGCTGCCAAGAGTGGAGAAGGAGACGGGAAGCTGGGGCTTGAATTGCAGGCTCAGCCTCCTGCCCTGGGTCTTTCCCACGCCAGCCAAAAAAAAAAAAACAACAAACCACCAAAGAGCGGCACAACCAACAGGGACGATGTCTGGGAAGGGAGCCGGCTGCCAGCAGCCCCGCTCACCCTGCTGCCTCCCTCTCCTTGCCGGCTGCCAGGAGGCTGCGGGGCACCGGGGAGGAGGACGGAGGGAACATCTGCGGCTGCCGAGCTGCTCCATCCATCATATGCATGGCTGCTGCTGGAGATGGGGCCTGGCTCTGAGAGCCTCCCTCGCCTCCGCCTGGCACCCAGCCAGCCTCTGCAGGGCACAGGCCTTGCTTCGATCCCCAGGGCATCCTCTGCTGCTTGTGGAGTTGGGCCTGCAAAGCCATCCTGGTGGCCCCTCAGTCCTCGGTGCTATGGAGAGTGGTCACAGCACAGTGTGGGAGCCTCAGCTGGAGGGCTGGGTCCAGTTCTGGGCTCCCCGGCACAAAAAAATAGACAGGGATCTCCTGGAAAGAGCCCAGCGGAGGCCACAAAGATGGAGGAGAGGCTGAGAGAGCTGGGGCTGGGCAGCCTTGGGAAGAGAAGGCTGAGAGGGGATCTGAGCAGCGTCTGGAAAGAGCTGAGGGGTGGCAGACAGAGGGACATGGCCAACCTCTTCTCAGGGCTCTGTGGGGACAGGACAAGGGGCAGTGGCCACCAAATGGAGCCCAGGCAGTTCCGCACCAACACGCCAAAGAACTTCTTCCCGGGGAGGGTGCCGGAGCGCTGGGACAGGCTGCCCAGGGAGGCTGGGGGGGCTCCTTCTCTGGCAGATCTTCAAGGCCCGTCTGGACACCTCCCTGGGCAGCCTGCTCTAGGGAACTGCTTTGGCAGGGGGGTTGGACCCGGTGAGATCTCGAGGCCCCTTCCAACCCCTGCAATTCGGTGCCAACACGCGGGTCTTGCTCCCCAGTGTGTCTGGTGATATTTAGTGATGCAGGAGCTGCACGGGGAGCCCAGCTCAAAGCTCCTGCCGAGCACCTTCCCCAGTCGGGGCCTGAATTACAGCTTCCCTCCTCTCGGGGCTGTTGCAATCCCCAGCAAAGCTCCCCGAGGTATCTCACAGGAGGGTTTTGCTAAATCAGGTTTAAAATCCAAAAAGAAACTTCACTTCTTTCCTCCATCTTTTTTCTTAGATTTTTTTTTTTTTCATCTGCCCTTGATTCTGTAAACCCCAGGCCCAACTTCCAGCTGCCATCTAGAAAAAACAAAAAAAAAAAAAACAAAAAAAAAACACATAATCAAAGTAATTACCACCTCCACTTCAGACATTACATTATCAAGCTAACCAGCTACCCATTGAAGACAATTAATCTGCACATAGGCACCAAAAGAAACTGTCAGCAATTAGAAGTGGAAGCACACTTTTGTAGTTAATTGGGAATATTGCACCTCTGTTACATGTTTAATTAGTTGATGGAGTGTGTCCCTTCTCAGACATTTTTCTTGTTTAAAGTGTACCTGGAATTCATTTTTTTCCACAATTTTTTTTTTTTCCCCGGCAGGAAAAAAAAGGCAAATAAATAAACTGAGTAATCTGAAACCTAATTCTAGCTTTTCCTTGGGTTGCAGCTCATAGGGTGTACACAGGCCTTTATAGACTTCCAAGAGATAAGGGGGAAAAGTTCTTCCTTTTCTTTCAGAGCTTCTATTTTATTTTCATTCTTAATCTGATTTTAAGACCTTGCCTCTGCATTTTCTCTCTTCTCCCATAAATCTCATTTTCCCCCCGGTTCCCTAGGGATCATCAGGTGATGGAATGCTAGAGCCTGGGAGCTGAGCAGAGCCGGTCACACGCCACAATACATTCAATTTTACACTTATTTTTTTTTGTGACGGTTCTAAATTTTATCTTTGCATAATGACGCTGCTTTGCATATCTATAGCTGCTTTCATCGGATGATCTCAGTACTTTCTACCGACTGTTAATTAAATCTCAAAACACCCTGGCAAAGTCAATAGGAGGGCTTTATTTGAGTACTTTTTAGCTAATTAGACCAAGGGGAGGGTAAACTGAGGCAGGGGGAGGCTGCTGAGGCATTACAGACTCTTGGATATTCACGGGGCAGCACAACAGGCTGGGGAAGCCACGTTAAAGGCTGCTCTTCGCAGACCTCGCAGGGAACATCACTTGCTCCAACAGCTGCAATCCCTGCGACCGAGGAATGAAACTGGGGCTCAGCAGGGTGTTAGATGGGATGCCCCTGCCCCATGTAGCTGCATTTGGTGTCCCTGGTACCCACAGTCTGCATCCTCACGTGCTCTGTGCCAGCACACACCTTTCAGCGCAGCGCCCAGCTCCAGTTTGGGTCCCAAATGGAAATCTCATCTTCTCCCTGGAAGATTCACAAGCGAGGCGTTTCTTTGCTTGGGGTCTTTGCTTTTGTCATCCTTGGCAAGACTTCCACACGCTCTAAACTGAAAACACTTTCATGCCCAGGAGGGTCTATTTTTCATCACCTCAGAGCAGCGCAGCCCAAGAATAACTTTGCTGGAAGTTAACAAAGAGACAGACGGGCTCGAGGCAAGAATCAGCCTGGCAGCCCAGGCCTGCTTGCCATGAATGGGAAACCAGCTCCGTGCCCATCTAAACCCAGCTCCCACACCACTGAAAATGCAGCATGGGTGGCACACACGATCCAGTCTGCCAGCTCCAGCTCCCGAGGAAGCCGCTCTGCCAAAATAAGATCACTTCAGGCAGAAAGATCCAGCCTGCAGGAATTCAACGTGCCTGGGGACTGCTGGAACAAACTGCAACAACAAACCTGGAGTGAGCTGAGCTGGCGAAGCCAAGAACACCAAGGCAGCTGCTGTCCTTACTGCCGCCCTTGACAAAATCTTTCCTGTGTTATCCAACGTCATCGACTCGTTCGGAGCAACGCTGCAAGAAACGGGCACCCTGGCCACAAAGCAGCTGCTCCATTTTGTCATTCACTGCAGCAACCGAGCTGCAGCTCAGGTTTGAAGGAGGGAGAAAACATCTCCAACTGTTGAGCTGGTGGAAAAAATTTGCTTTCCAAGTTGCCTGAGGACAACCACATGCTGTGAAGGGCAAGGGTTTGTGTGGATGATGCTGTGTTGCTCTCCATCCTACAGCAGGATGCGTTTCAGCAGCCCAGAAGGACCCTGGTGGGGTTCTGTCTGCGCTTGCCTCTTCTCCCAGGTCCAGGCAGCAGGCACAGCTCATCAAACACACCATCTTCTGGGGAGGGAAGCAAATGAGATAGATCACAGAAACTCTCAGTACCATTAGGTCATTGCAATTTTGAGCCGGCAGCGGCACAAGCCATTCAGTGCACGGGTGATATCATGTTGTACTGCAGGCCGAAATTCAAACGGCGTTGAAGTCAAAGGGAACGTATCCGCCGGGCCTTGGATCAGCCTGCAAAGCACATGGAGCGCGTGGGCGCTTTCTCTTTTTGCCAGGGACAATCCAAGCAAAACTCAACCTCCTTCTTCCTTCAGCTGAAAGAAAGCATCAACAGAAGACTGAATTTTTGGCCTGAAAAGGAGCCAAGTGCTGCTGAAATCTGGCCCGTGGTCTTTGCGCTGAGGATAATGAGAATTACTGAAGTGCCTTTGAAAAGTGCCTTGAGAACAGGCCATCTTTGGCCCTGCTATAAAACGGGAATGCAGGAACAGCCGGGCTTGGAGAAGGGCAGGTTTCCCACACCGATCACAACACTACAGTCTGGTCCTCCTCGATGGCTGGGTGTCTGTGCTGTTTCACCACAACACAAGGCTTTCTCTCTCTTGCCCTGAGCCTCTGCAGCAGAAGCAGGCAGGAGGCTGCTCTGGGATCATGCCCTGGAGCTCTGCTGGGTGCCTGGGACCAGGAGAGATGCAGTGGTAGGAGGGAGAGGGGGTCCACACCTCATAAAAGAAGTCCTCAAAAGGATCCCATCCCCGTCACATGCTGCATCCATACCTGGATCCTGGCACACCACTGCAATGAATGAACCATGTCCACGCTCTTTCCTCTGCTTTTAGCATATGCAGCAGAGAGTGGATATTTGGGACATCCCTTGGTCAGCCTGTCTCATTTAGTCCACAGTAACTGCTGCTGCAGGCAAAGATGGTAAAGCACACCTATCAAATCAAAACCCCTTCTGGAAGTTATAGCCTAATCTGCTCAAAGGAAAAAAAATCCATCTTGTCCCCTCCTTTAGAGTTTATCTTGTGCCCTGAAGCAGGACGACTTAATCTCAATTTCAAAACTCATAGATGATTTTAAATCCATGCTTCGCGGCTCTGGACACTCTAGTAACTTCCTTTAATAAAGGGAAATCTCTTTGCTGGAGAACTGCACAGAAGAGCTTGCCTGAAAGGCAGCCACATGCTCGTGTGCTCGACCTGGTTTTGTCCCAGCCCGAAAAGACCCAGGCCAGTCACAAACCCAGCACACCGGGTGCACAGCGACAGCTGCTCTGCACAAGCCAGCTGCAGAGAGATGATAGGGGCAACAGCCCGCCGTGCCAAGGAGGTGGGGGAAGAAAAAAAAAAAAGACATCTTCAGGCTCTGATCCTGATTTTGTTTTTCTCGCCTGCTGGATCCTCCTCCCAGCCCACCCACGGCAGGCAGCTCGACCTCGCCGCGTGCTGTCTTCAGGCAAACAGCTGGGGAACGTGTGGAGCCGGGCAGGTTTTATGTACCAGCATGTTCTGGGGGGTTGCCAGCTGCTGGCTGCATCCTTCTTCTGTCCTCTTTGAAGGAGAGGTTTTTCCATGGCATAGAAGGGAGAGCAAGGAGAGCAGATGCTCGGGGACACCCTGAGCGGCTCCGGGGCCAGGTTGCACTTGTTGCTCCAGGCACCTGTGGTATGGGGCAGGCAGGATGCTGAGCACTTCCGAAACCCTGAAAAGTGTGTGGTTTCCTAGGGAAATGAAGGAGAGACCAGAGCAGATACCCCAGTCCACGTTCACCAGTGAACACTACGGGAGGCAAGGGGGGTAAAAGGTGTCACCTGCATGAAGCAAAGAGGATGGGAGTCAGCGCAGGCTGGGAACACATCCCTGCCTCACAGCACAGTATTAGGGCTCTGCACCAGGCCCCCCATGGCAATAAAACAGGACCAAAAGCCTAAGTACTGTAGGATGGAGTGTAGTTTTTGAAAGAGGATTATAAGGCTGAAAGCTCATGACCGCAGGGGCTGTGTTCGATGACTCAGTCCCTTCTGTCCTGCATCATCACACAGCAGCATCTGTTTGTGTCCCGCAGCCTCAGTAAATAATTCTCTTTTTTTCTATATTAGCACAGCCATGTCCTGCCTTACACGCCAGCTCTGGTACAGCCACAGGGCAGGGTATTAATTCTCTCTTAAGCTGGTGTGACGTTCCCATTATAGCAACCTGCTGTCAGCTCCTCGGGGTTGTGCAGCGCTCGCCTTCGCTGCTGCAGAGAGGGCAGGGCTGGCCCGGCCACATGCAGAGAGGGCTCCTTGTCCTGTCCCGGGGGAGATGAGCACTGCCCACGACAATTTGCCACCACCTCTCACAAGCTGGCTGCACGCAGAGAGTCAGCGAGGGACAGGATGGGGAGGCAAGACCCCGATTGTGGGGTCTGCAAAGTGGGAAGGGAAATGGAGAGCGTGAGAAGGCAAAAAGGGGTTGTGTGAGCATACCTCCACGGTGACGGTGTGTGAAGGAGCTCCACTGTACCCAAAAATACCACAGTGGCAGGGCCTCTTCCAGCATGCTGCTGGGACCAGAGAGCCAAGGAAGGGCCCATTGCATTTTGCAGGGAAATCTGTACGGGGAAAATGCCAGCTTGGCCCCATCTGGAAGGAATTAGCAGCAGAGCTGTTTGTCAGCTGCTTCCATGCGGAGGAAGGGGCTGAGATTTTACACCATTAGCCTCCCCCAGAATAAAGCCAGGCAGGCAGGGAGATTTATTACCCACAAACCTCCCAGGATTACAAATGCCCCGTGGAAGAAGACCTGCCTGAGAGAGTGTTTTTAACTGGCATGCGAGAACGGAGCAGCCTCGCCAAAAATTACCTCGGAGCATGGAAAATGGAGCAGATCCCTGGCTGGATTAAACAATGGCATCAGCAAATGCCCAGTTTGAGAGAGGGGGCGAAAAAAAAGGAGTTGAGGGCCCGGACTTGAGGACCACCCAGGAGATGAAAGATGCTCGCTTGAAACTGCTGCTGAGCCCCGCAGCTTCGGCTGGTGCCTACATCAGATTCGGAGCCCGTGGTGATCCCCCAGCCTGATCCAGTTACAAATGACTTCAGCGGGGTTTGAAATCTCAGCGAGTGGGATACGGTCCCATTCCTCCCCTTTCTCAAAGACGAGCCTGCATGTGAGAAATCGTCCCCAGAGACGGCTGTACACTGTTTTCATGGATTTTTATACATTTTGTTTACCTGTTGCCAAATTGCAGGAGTCATTTTTATTCCTTTGTTGCTAAGTTTTCCACAAAGCTTTGCTAAAAAATCAAAATTGTGTTTGATACAGATATTGAGCATGTTTTGTTTCCTGACAACCACACGTAGAGATTCAATTTGTACATGCTTCTTGGTGACTATGTCATACTGTGAGTGCTCACACATTTACTGACACAGCAGAGCTGGATGGAACCGTTTTTCCCATTCCACGAGAATTTCAGAGACTAATAAAAACACCAATGGTGTTGAAACAGACCTTAATGTTTTGCAATGTGTAAAACAAAAGGGTTTACTATTTAATTAGCCAAATCAAACACAACGCCAGACCTAAAAGGACACTTTAGGTCGTGAAACGTGTCAGTGTGGGAATTTATAACTATTTTTTCTTCTCCTGGATTAAAGGGATTTCAAGTTGGGAAAACTGCAGAAAACAATAGGAAGACTTTGACTCCTCAACAGCGTTGGTTAAAACTAATCCAGCATTTTCGGAGTGTTGGAGCCCACGCCAGAAACTGCTAAACCAGCTCTAGCTGCTCTCACGGACTGCATCACCCTATTTTCCTCCCAGATAAATCCTCTTCTCCCGACACTGTCGGCTCACACGTTTCCGTTAGAAAAAACAGAGATAACAGCTAACTTCCCCACGCTGTGCAGACAGAGTAAACTTGTGCTGCTTATTATCCTACATGCAGGGACATAACTTTCCCCTTGATCTTCATTAAAGAGAGAAGGGAAATTCCAGCGTTTCAGAGGCTTTGTTATGATCTTGAATACTACAGCAGCAACTAGAGAAAACATCTAGCAAGACAAGACAGAGGACAGGCTTCGCAGACAGGGCGCAGCAGCTCAGACACGCGTTGGGGCTGTGAAGCCGAGCTGGAGAAGTCCCAGCAGCGAGCCTTTCATCTGCCCGTCAGCATTCCTGCAGCTGGGAATTGCAGAGTCAGGGAAATTAAAAAAAAAAAAAAAAAAAAAAAGGGAAAGGGAAAAGAAAGACAAAGCAAACCCCACACTCATTCACTCATTCCTGCGGTGTAAACACAAGATTTGCCTCGAATGCAGATCTGCAAGCAGCTATTTTCACAGTAAGGCAATGGGAGCCTCCTTTGGCCCAGCAGTCGCCAGCTGCAGCAGGGTTTGGGGGTGCTGAGCACTCCCACTCCCTGAATTTTATACCCCCTACCAGGCTCTGCTCATCCAGACACTGCTCCTATCGCCCTTCTGGCTCTGCCTGAGTATTTGCACACACATTTTGTGCGTTGCACTGCCCCTGACGCAGATGTGCGTGCCCACACACCCGTCTGCTCCATGCTGTGCTCTCCCAGTCATCGCTCGCACATGTGGACGCATCTGTGGTTCACAAACACATTTCTGGTGCTGGCTACAGCGCTCTTCCCTTGCATTCGTCAACAGAAACCTTTCTGCTCTGTGCACTCACCGGTCTGATCACGCTTTCCGCACACACATCACCGGTGGGCACATGAGCAAATCCCAGCTCCTTCTGCTGCTCCGCAGCCAAAGCGGGGCGGCTGACGGCTGGTGGCAGCAGGCAGGTGCAGAGAGGGAGAGGAAGGAGAGGAAAATACGGATTTTGAAGCAAAGTTTAGCTTTGGGGTTAACTGGATGATGAATGACGGCAGGTGCACGCTTAACTGCATCCCGCTCACAGAGCCCTTCTCCTTCCCTGCCCACCTGCAGTGCCAATGTAGCGGGGCTCCATCGCCATGGATGCTGTTTCAAGGTTACTTAAGCAATAAATTATGTTATATGCTTAACAGCCCCGCCAGGAACACCCACCCATGACTTGCTCATCCTCCCCATTTATTTTCCCTTTGCAGATGCATGGCTGGAAAACTGTTCCAGCTTGCACCTCGTTACAGGGAAGGAGGAGCCATTTCCATTCAACAAGCTGCAGAAACAGCGACAGCTCAGTAACCAAAATAACAGGGGTAGGATCCTCCACCAGCACTACCTCGGTATGCTCCACCAAAGTTTGGGGAGCTGTGCTGATTTACGCCAGCCATGGATCTGCTCTCGTCATCATACCGGGCAAACCATCAGAAAAAAAATCCGTCCAGGGTTCAGGCAAGAGGAAAAGACTAAATGGGATAGTGGCAGAGCTGCTAGAGAGAAAAATGTCACTTTTTTTTACAGTGCTGCCTGTGTGCACTGCAAACTGCAGATTAAAATAAATAAATAAATAAATAAATAAATGTGGTCCTGGTTCTCCCCCCAGCTTTACCTACATCAAGAGGCCAGATCCCAGCGGACTCAGTCACCCCTTTTCCCCAGCAATCCCAGGTATAAACAGAAAGCTCCAGTCCTGCAGATGCCCTTTCATGCCCAGGGATGGACACTTTCACCCTAGCACTGAGGGGAAAAGACAACCTCATGCCTCATGTCACCTTGGTCAGCAACACCTAAACCCCAACACATCTCCTCCTGCACCCCCTGGTACCAAATGTGCCCTGGGGATTGCAGCAGCAGCGGGCTGGGTGCCCCGTCCTTCCCCATGATGCTGTCTGGCTCCATCAGCAGCGCTGCCCGGCATGCCCTGCTGTCAGCCCTTAGCGTGCCAGATGCCCTTGTAGGCAGCTGCACGCAGGATTAAGTGCAGCGTGTTCAAACCATGTACAATTACGTGCAACTGTTTCTCCGCTGCAAAGAGATGGAGGAGCAATGGAGCAGCAGTTACGGTCTCGCATTAGCAATTTCCAAAGGACAGTTGTGTGGCCACTGTCCGTTACAGCCAGGGCAAATGAAGATGAATGCAAGTGAGTTTGGATGCTCCATATGCCTTCAGTTCATTTACTGCAGGGAGGCCTGGATTACAGGGAACATCACGAGAAAATCTGCAAGAGGCAAACGGTTACTGTCTCTACCTGAATCCCAGAAAACAGCGTTTTTAGCTGGAGATGAAAAAATCAGGTCACCTGAGATTTGAGCCTTACCTAGTCCTACCTCACTGTTGCTTTTCTGCAGTGGGTCCCTGAGCACTTATCAGCTGTAATCCCCCAAATGGGAAATGTGCAAGGGAGTTACCAAGAAAGTAAAGCACAATGAAAATGGGAATACCATCAGGAGCTGCCTTGGAGGAATGCAGTGCCACCAAGTCCCACCACCTTCACCTTGTACAGGGAGACCAAGCAGAACACGGAGCTTCCAAAGACCAAACCCTCAGCGTCTCAAAGAAAGCTCCAGAAGTCATGAGGCAAAACAAGCTTCAGGGACGTACCTGGCGATTTGGCCTGAATTTCAAGGTCATGTAGCAAATTAGCGAGAACAGGACCCAGGTGTCCTGAGCATGATCCCTTTCTACCCTAATCAGCATGGCCTCACATAACCATTTGAGCAATTGGCTTATTTCACAGAGTGACTTACAGCTGCTATTGTAAGCAGATCCAGTCAATATATTTATTTTCCCTTTGATATACAGCTACAATAGGAAGCCATGCATGAAGTTTATTAAACCTGGCTAATTTTCTATCAGTTCTGCGAAATATCGATTCTATGCATTCACTTATCTGGCTCAGCCTCAACCTGAAAAGAGAATCATTTAAAAACAACAAAAACACATCCAATTCCTCCGAAACAAAGCTAATCCAAGACGGCGAAGTATTGCTGTTCTCATGGGCAGAGCCCTTTGATCAATTGAGCCAAAGACAACTGTGTTATTTAGGAGCCATTTGCAAGCTGGCAAATTAAACATGATTTTTATTATTTTATTTATTTTTTTTTCTGAAGGGTGGGTAGGGGGAAGAAACAGCAGCTTTACAGTAGTAGTAAAATATCCAAATGATTTTCTTTTCTCCAATAGGGCCAGATTCTGCGTGATATAGGGCAGGAAAGCAGTGCAGAGGGATTTGCCATCCTCCATCTCTCACGACCTGTTGCAGGGGCTGAATCCCTTTGCTGCACCAACACTTTGATGTCTCCCTCTTGAGTCAAGAGCACGCCAGGCCTCCAACAGGGTATGGTGCAGGAGCCTCACACACAGTGCAAGCAGGGAAGAGGTACCTCAGCGATGCATCAGCAGAGCTTCATTGGAGCACAAGCTCCTAAACACCCCGGACTGACAACGCTTCTGAAACCAGGCATTTTTTTGCAGTTGTCTGGACTCCTGAAAGCATGACTGAAAATGCTGTGCAGCAGGAACTTCTCAAGCCTAACCCCCGACTCTCTGCTTTAGAGCATTTGCATAGTAAAACCGTAAATGTTTCCATCTTTAAATCTTTATGCTTAACTGATGCTCTGCACAAGCAAACCGTTATTGTGCCTATATTGTGATGGAAACCAGCAATAAATGCAGAGCTGCTATCTAAAACAATATGGCAACATGTTTTACCACATCAATCCGAGGGTGCCTACACTTGGATTAGCATGTCAGGCCAGCTTTCAGTGACTTCCTTTGGTTTCAACTTAACCTGCTGCTTCTCCTGTGCCGTAGGCTGCTTGAGACCAGCTGCGAAGCATCGTTGTACAAGACAGAACATATGCACAAGTAAACAAATTAAGGCTATCTCCAAAACAACAGGCCCCTGGCTTCCTGGAAGAGCTGCAAAAAGAAACTTAATCAACAGCAGCGGGTGAAACGGTAAAGGGGAGGAGATGGACCTCTGCTAATGAAGGCGATGCTCGCAGATTGCAAACGCTGGCTCGCAGCACGCGAGGAGGGGCTGGCGGGGTCAGCGCTGGCGACACGAGATGCACGCAGAGCCTGCAGCCACGAGGGCTCTGAGGAAGCACTGGTCTTCATAGAGCAAAGCAATCACTCTAAGCACACATAAAAAAGGAAAACGAGGAGCTGAGCCGGGCACAGGCACAGCCGTGCCCCTGCCTGTTGCAGCGGGTGAGAGCTCAGCTGTTGTGGCCACATTGGGGTTGGTACCGTGGCCTCTCCAGTCCCCCCTGGCTCTTTCCCCAGGGGCTCATTAATGGTCTGAAGTTGCAGCAGCTAAATCAGTCGAATACCAAGACAGTTAAATCTCTGCACACCTCTGCACAGATGTTTTGGCGTCAGTTTAAGCCTGCCTGCCACTGGCTTCACCTTGCATCTTTAAAACAGAGAGAGCTGACGTGGGAAAATAAAACAGCAGAAACCTTTCCCATTTCTTCCCGGCTGCAGGCAGGTCCCTCTCCAGCTCTACCCTGGCAAGGTCTCTGCTGAGCTGGGTATCCCTGCCTGTTAAAAACCTCTGCCTTGAACCAATGGGCCCATCTGCGTTGCAGTTGCTTACTGCGTGTCCTCTCAGGTGCTCATGCCCAGTAAAATTAAACCACAGCAAATCTTACTGCAAAGTGTGATACTTTAGCATAGAAAAAAAAAAAATCCATTAAAAAAAAACAAACAAACAAACAAGCAAAACAAAACAAACCCTCATGTGCACACCTGGCTGCTTGCTCATCTTCAGCTTGCATTTTTATGACCAGCTAAGCCTCCCTTGTTTTTCTCTTACCCCGAAGAGCCAGGCAGTTAGCATATGTTCTCTTAGCAAACCTAGAAATCCTCTGAGATACCCCAGAGCCTCTCAGGCCAGTTCTCGCAGCCTATCTCCATGCTCTGTGAGCCAAAATCATCTCCCCTTGCCAGAGCAAGCTGCTGGAGAGACAACTGGGAGCCCCAGCTCCTCTTTACCTCCAGCCCAGACTGAGAGCAGAGTCTGGAGCTGAAGTCTAACACAAATCCCCCGATGTGATGTCAGGGCAGCTGAAAGCATGAGCAAACTGTGCACAATTTATTTGGGGTTACATATGCTATCACTGGGTCAGAGCTGCTCTACCTTGAGAGAATATAACAGCTGCTAACGGATAGAAAACCCAAAATAGGCCAGCCTGACTCGTGGTGGGTCACTGTATTTGCCTGCTCACAGCCCGGTGCAGGTCCCAAACACCCTCCAAGCAATGCAGCTAGGGGGACATGCTCCCACCCGTCATACACACCATTAGTCCTGTGCAAGCCTGAGTTTGAATGAGGAGCTGTTTAAATTTAAAGTGGGTGAAAAACAACTCACATCTAGCCAAAGGCTGAAAGGTATAAGCTGCTCCATTACAGCGTGTACCCCTGCTCACGAACACAAGCTGAATGGATAGGGGAGAAGTCTCCTTTGACAGGTGTTTGCCCACATCCAGAACTACCACAGCTTATCATCACACCTCCAGGTCAAACAGATGTTTCCTTCCAGATACAGATGTACCAGTGGAAGAGAGCACTGCCCCAAGATGCTCTTCACTCCCTCCCTGCCAGATGTTCCCAGGCATACAGCCCTGACAGCTAACAGAGGAGTGTTTAAAATAACCAGCTGATTTAAGACAACTGGCTCCTTAATCCTGAGCAGTTAGAGGTTGCTTTATGCCTTAGACTACAAAGGTTTGTATAGCTAATTTATTATATTTTTAAAGCCACCTTAATGTAACAGCAGAGGATCTGCTGTGCATCTTCGGCAAGGCAGAAGGAAAGCTAGAGTCACACTCAAGTTGGAAGAAATAAGAAACTTGTAATAACCTAGGTCTTATTACTGCACAACTGAAATCCCCTAGAAGCACATGAGCCAAAATCAGTGTCTTCATGACCATAGAAGTGGTGGAAGTTCATTGCTTTTTGTTCATTGCTTTTTCCACTTCACAATTTCCCCCTCTAGCCGTAAGGGCCTGGATATGGGACTGAAATTTGAAGTCTACAGGAAGGATCAGCACCTCTATTTGGAAAAAAAAAAAAAAAAAAAGACAGCATGGCTCTAATCAGTAACCAGGAAAGCTGCAATTCTTTATTTCTGAGCAGCTTCAGCACACCAGACTCAGTGAACATTGAATCCAAAGTGACAGAAGAGCCCCTCCAGCTGAGCACCTGCGTTGCACCCAATGGCTTCCCAATTCGCCACCCCACTGGGGGACACTGCCACCAACCACTGGTACTGTTGAGGCCAGCAGCAACAAGAGGAAATTGGGATTATCTTTCTCAGCCAGCTGCTTCTCGGTGGCAATATCTGTGCAGATCCCCGAGCATCACTGCTGAGCACAGCCAGCACTCCTCCCCTCTCTTAGCACCCTTCCTTTTTAGCCCACTACCATCTCCTCCTTTCCAACCTTCTCATTTCAAATCCCAGCTCCTTGCTGAAGTAACAAGTTCTCCACTGCAAGAAGAGATCTCTTTAGGCCATTCCCTCTCAGCAGGAGGGGAAATCCCAGCTCATTTTGTGTTGCAAGAAATTCATGGTACCTACAGCATTTCTGCTGGCTCTTGGAATCTGAACGAGCTGTCTTACTCCTTCCTTTTCCAAGTAATGCTGGTTTTCCAGCTCCTCTTCCCTGACAAACCATCATCAAGGATGAGCAAGGCAGCTCGAGGAGCACAGACCTGCACAGTGCTTGCAAAACGGGCTCTGTATCACTCGGCTATTAAATTCTGACATGGGGATGTGTTGGCTGTGGTCTGGCACAGAGCTTTAGGGCTGGTGAGAGCCTTGATGCAGAGCTCTGTCAGCAGCATACGAACCCCACACCTGCCTTGCAGTAGCACTGTAATAGGCTGTCGGTGCCTTACAGGGCAGATAAAAAAAGGGGGCCTTGGAAGGGCTGCATTGGCTCTAAACACACTTGAGCAATGTAAGATGGCTGGATCCCCATTGTAACTGTTGGGAAAAGAGCTGCACTTGAAGAGAATTACCTTTACAGGATGGACCTGGCACGTGGCGGTACCAAGCAGTGATTCAGGGCTGATTCTGGCTCCTGTTGCACAATCGCATCTCACTCCCCAAATCCAGCAATTTTCAAATCTGGGCTTTTGCTCAGGTCTCATCATTCATCAGCGGTGGATTGCGGGAGCTAAACTTCTTTCTGTAAGGCAGCGATTCCATTTTCCTCCGGTCTTAAGCAGCTTCAATCCATCTTACTGCATTACAGAGCCCGTGCTGATTGTTCTGCTGTAGTGGGTAATAACAACTTGTACTTTGCAGATTACCCCAGGGAACCTCGCTCCCAGCTCTGCCGTACCGCCGGCTCCGTGGGGTGGGCACACAACTGCCTGCAGCACCCCCAGGGAGGAGGAGGGATGGGGATACAGGAATGAATACAGAGAAATGTAGGCATGTGTTTCTGTACTGGGAAGTCATGGACAAGCTGAAAAATGGTGCAGATGGTCAGGGGGAAATCAGGGCACATGGTCCTGTGGGTGTGGTTGCTCCCAGGTGAACATCCTGGGATGTGGAGAATGTTTTGGGGAGGGACAGTGATGAAAATGGGACAAAAGTGAAAAGG